CATTATATCATGGTAATGAAAGAGACAAAACATTTCAAATTCAGTGCATCCGCAATCACATATCGAAATGTTTAAAAAAAAATCGATAATGACTCTACATGCATGTCTTGCTGAGTGCGCATGCCGTGTTGAGATTGAAGGAGACAGCAGGAACAGGTATATCCTTGGCGAGTGATTTAAAACTGCGCTCAAATTACCCGAGGGCATTCCTCACGTTCCCGATCGCCCCGATAGGTACCTCACATCTTGGAGAAGGAGAAGGTGACTCTAACAGATCTGTTGGCCAACATTGGAGGAATCGTCGGCGTCTGCCTCGGGATTTCACTCATCAGCATCTTCGAAGTCATAGAACGAGTGCTTGGCATCATCTGGTCCAAATTACGCCCAAGGAGAAACGAGATCATCGACGAAGTTCAACACTGATCCCATGAATGCGAACATGCCCTCACGCACAATGACGCCTTCAAAGCCGGAAACGAAAAGCAGGGTTTCCTTATCGGTGTTTACAGTGTGCCACAAAGCAAAATATACTCTCTTATATATTGTCTGGTTAGATCATAGTTTTGCGGCAGAGGCACTTGATTTTTTTCTCAATGCACTTATGTCACAACGGCGATCTTCCTCGCCGAAGAAAATTGTCATTAATCACCGCATATTTAATTCATGTTCACGATGCTAAAGAACGTATTATAATGGATTTCGCTTCAAATATCAGTTTTGTCAAAGTCTATTTGCGTCGCGAGCACCAGCACAAGATATTACACAAGATACACAAGAGTTTTAATGAGGTGAATGCTTGATACGGCGAGGGAATGCTTCAACGTGAGTAACGTATTTTTTTAAATGGTTGTTTGGGTCTTGAGGTGTAAATGCCGTAATCCACGCGGCATACCTTCTAATTCTGCCTTCTAATAATTCCTTACGTTTGTTTATGCTCCCCCCCTGGGTAGCCAATCCTAGGAAGTTTTCTGCGGAAGCGAACTACTAAACGAAAGATCATGATTTGGAGGTGACAGAAAGTGCCACTTTTGTTGCTTCCAATGCCCTATTACGCCATCAAAAAATGAAATCAGATGCCGTAAATTTAGGCTTAGCTTTAAATTTAGGCGATGGCTCCGACCCTGGCTTCCAGTGTTTCCCGGATATCGTGCCTTAGTTATGCCAGATTCATGGTCAGGGGTTAGTTCACTGACTCGTCTTCATTTTTTTTTCCTTTGAACGGGCTGAAACACACCTGTTTCGAACATTTTCTTTATTTCCACCTTAAAGGCGGTTTCACGAGAGTTCGAAGCTCCTTCTCTACCTGATCCTTCTTGTGTTTACAGCGAAGTTTTGGAGGCTCAGAGCCAATATCAAATGATAATAATAAATCACGCATAAAATTAATCAACTAGCTTCGGAAGCAGAACAGACGTGTGAAGAAAAAAAAGCTGAAGCAGAAAAGGCTGAAACTTAGATGCTTCTTAAAGCACTGCCTTCTCACCTACTTTGGTAAATATTATTTTCCGTTGATTTTCTTTAATGGTCACATTAAGAAAAGATTTAGAAGCTGCAAGATATAGCCCACTGGGCCTCCATGCTATAGCAACCATTCCTTTTCGAAGGCATACCACACATTCACTTCACGGTATAACAAAACATGTGCCTTTCGTTCCATATTCTCCTATCCGAAAAATTATGTATTGGTCACGTAATTGATTTTGGCTTGAGTTTTTGTTCGTAATTTTTTGGAAGTTTTGCCCTGAGTAAATGAATTGAGAAAGAAAAGAAATACAAATGCGATATTGGCATATCTATTTTCCAGTTTAAAATTTTCTTCTTAATACATTTGCCGTGCACGAAAATCCGCGGAAAAGTACCCGATGACTATTCAGATTAATCCTGATATTTCTACCGTGCATGAGTCCACATGTCAACGATGAATAAAACCACATAATGGGTATGTTCAAAAATTCACCGAGTTGATCGTGTACCTTGATTCCCACACACGAGAACGGCATCCTCCACCCTGAAAGCGGGCGTGGTTCAGGAGGAGGCGTCGAAAGAAGAACAATGGAAGCATGACAGACGTGGCGGGATCAATCCCACTCGACGCATTCTCTCCTGAATCTTGCATGGCGCCTAAAACTCATTAAGGAGAAAGGTGGAGGCAGGCTATCATGGCCAACCTCTTCCTAATTCATTGTTATCCCACTTTCCGGTTTTATCTTTTCTTTAGGATTCTCCCTGTAGCAAAAGACAAATCAGAATTACTTTTCTGATGGTTGGCAGCTTCCATTTATTTCGACGGTGATGTGAATAAATTAACGGATTAAAACTCGCTGCGTTTGAATGTATGAGTTAATCTCAGGACCTGAGTTTTTAACATTGATGTCAGTTTCCATTCACAGACAGATCAATTCTGATATTTCTAACGAGTATGAATGTCACTGATGCAAAAACCCAAATAATGTGAATGTTCAAATTCACCGAGTGTGTCTTCATTCCGTAAAACGAGAACGGCACCTTGCACCCTGAAAGCGGGCGTGGTTCAGGAGGGAGCAAAAAAGGAAACACAATGGAATCGTGCCAGGCGTGGCAGGATTAATCCCGTTCGACGCTTTTTCTCCTCAATTTTACATGGCTCCTAAAACTCATTAAGGAGAAAGGTGGATGCACGCGGTAAAAATTTGCCCTCGTCTTCGAATCGATTCGATAGAGTAAACGAGTCTCCATCGGATCAACCCTCGTGCTCGTACGTAGACTAGAAAAACCAAGTACGTGAAATACACTAAGTGCTTCACATTACTCCTCCACACAATCGCGTTCGCGATGAAGTCCGGAAGAGAAAAGCCAGGCAGAACCTACACTTCCCTTGAGGAAGTGTGCTTCCAGAGCTCCGGTCAGGTTCTCGAAAACCGCGGTGGACTTCTTACCCGATAGTTAACATAATACATTCGGCCCTCGTTTATCGCGGTTCCAGACTCTACCGCGATAAGTGAATTTCCGCGAAGTAGGATTCTTTATTTATAAATCGAATATTTTCGTAGTTAGAGCATAGAAAACCTGTTTACGACCTTCTAAATACGGGTTTTAACATTATTAATTTTTATTTTAATTGTAATACAGGGGTGTATAATTGACTCAGACAACCGAGCGCGCGCTGTATCATTTTCACTGTCTCGATCAACTTTTTAATGAATATATTTGAAAAAACCGCGATAGAGTGAAGCCGCGAAAGTCGAAGCGCGAAGCGGCGAGGGACGACTGTACCGTCTTTATATTCAGAGTTTGGGAAACTATTGACCAGTTTCACCTTCGCAAGAACATTGCATCCAACATCTGAAGTCGAGACGACCGTAGCACCCTGATTCGGTTTGAAGCATCGCCTGAAGATTCATCAAACGGAAGGTATAACCTTCTGGAAACTACGTACTGCCGGAGTGAGACTTTCCCCAGCATGCTACCAATATGCAATGCAAGTTTAAAAGTTCTCGAGGAGAAGGTTTCGACATCAGCATTCATCTCGTCTTTATTGGAGGGGGTCATGCTCTGGCCTCTGGCTGATTTGAGATGGAACCATTTGAAAACAATCCTGCCCTCATTGTCCTTTGTTCATTCTTGAGGAAAGTTAACATAATTAAATAACTTTTTCTTGAAGAAGTTATGGACCTTGGCGCATGCTGTGGCTTCGACAGTACGACCTTAAGGCGGCCTCCGCATTCCCCCATTTTCGTAAAACTTCTGTATCAGTTCGATCCTCGTAGTGAGCGCTAGCAAGTTGATTTGCACCGGTTAGGTTCCGTACTCTTCCAGTCCGTGGTCATCCGCTGATCTTTTATACTGTTCGCTGCCCATGTGACATGCTCTGGTGGTGCCGACATTTGACACTCTATTTTTTTATTTTATATTTTTCTGCGGATTCGAGAAGCCCATACTATAAACTGTTTACATGTCAAGTTTCAGCTTCATCTGTCCAGTTTGTACATGGCCTTTCATTGGTAATATTTTCAAATGGGTCACTCCATATATTTTGATCTTAAGAAACCAATCTCCCTTTTGCGCGGCATCATGGTGTCATGATCGTGGAAATTCGTGGGCTCGTGGGAGACCTCTTCCGTTCGGGTCAGAAACTGAAGGTGGCGGGTAGCTCTCCTAAGGTGTCGATACAGGAAGGTGCGTTTGAAAATGGGAATTTTTCGCGGAATATTCGAAACGGACTTCTTTCCCGACGCGAATGAGACACATCGTTCATTTAAGGATTCAATTTCGAATTTCGGTTCCTTGGTCGCAACATTTTCGAAAAATAAAAATGTTCCGCGAAGATAACAAAGTGGAATTTCCGAAAAATTAAAAGATAAATTTTCGGAGCATAACGGGAAGTCCAGGTTTACAAGCTCTAAAAAGTTGGAAATTTTCACGGTAAAGATGCTAACATTTCTGAAAACTAGTCTGTAGCACGCGCCAAAGCAATAATTTAAGGGGAGGTGGGGTTGATACTGCGGTGGGGTCGAGGAACGGGACAAGCCTTTGAGAAATTTTTTTTTCATATTACTATATCCAGGAGATTCATGCTCCATATCTGACCTAATTGCAATGTTTTGGGGCTTGTTGAATTGGATGATTATCCTTTAGGAAGATGACTTCATCCACATCGGGCTGGCAGTAGTTGATGGTTCACTTGAGATGGCGCTTGATCGTCTCCTTCTTGGTTCTGCTTTTTGTTTGGAGAAGAGTATATAAAAGCTAAGAGCCTCTTTATCTTTCAGAAATAACTTTTCCACGCAACTTACTGACTGAATAAAGAGTGGAATGCGAACAAGTAACCACCAGGATTAAGTGAATGGCATATGAATTATAGTCTTCATAATGATAAAGGATATAGAATGTGCTACAAGAATGAGAACTGTACACAGCAATCACGTAAGATATAATCGCATTTGGTGGTCATTTTTCGCGTTGCAGCATGCCTAACACAAATATAATTCGGACGTATAATGTCATCTTTTTATTAGAAGTAAGTCACGCTGTTGTATCTCTCCATGTAAAAAAGCTTCTGACTTTTGCAAATCGCCCGTCCGTAACAAAATACAGATGTGGCTGAAGTAGGAAAAGATCATCGTAGTCTTTACCTGATCACCGTCTCGATCCACTCGACGTATCTGAGAAACAGACATGAAGACTCATGTTTCAACAAAAGTCGATGAGATGAATCTGCACTTGAGAATCTATTTTTAAAAAAGGATAAAAGGAAAAGCGAGGGCCCCACCGATAAACCCTGGTGAAAATCCCATATTCGCCACCCGCCCTCTTGGAGCATTCCTTTTTCCCGAGATGGTGACTCACGATTCCTTCGATGTGCCAGAGGTCCAAGGATTTTGAGTAGAAGACCATCGGACTGCCTGAATCCCCGGGACACACGGTTTGGAACTCTGCAAGAAATTTCACAAGGTCTATTACAGTAATATGGACGTCACGAATCGAAAACCACTGGAAATAAATAATTTTTGCCGTTTCAATGACACAGGAATCGTCAACGTCGATGCCTAGCTCCAAAAAAAAACACATTTTGAGCACTAAAAATAGACCCACTGGTTGAGGAAATCATCGAGTATTCACTTAAGACCTCCCTGAATATGCGTATCCTTCAATCACCGTTTCCCATCCAAATTCCCCAAATGCTTAATATTTCTTATCCCGACATCCACCTTACCACTGGAGCCTAATACGCACAATTGATGCATCTATCTGAAATAAGAGCTCCAAACCCTGTTGATGGGCATGATAATATCGTTATGAAGAGTGGGTGTATATAAATAGGTGAAATGAATTCTTGGGTGGGCTCCAATGGTCCATCAACACGAAATAATTCAGAACTTGTGCTCCATTTAACAGTAATATATATGGAGGTGATCAACTCTGGGTAGGGAAACTACTATAGGTCCTCTTACAAAAGCATACTGATTTTTAAATACGTATTGCAAAAACATATAAAAGACATTTCTTGATTGGGCTAGAGACACGAGGAAGTGATGCACAAACGGAAGATTACTAAAAGACTCTACGCAGATCACTTTCCTTACAAGGACTTACTGGCGTCTTGGCCATACCTGTTTCAGAGATAGTCGTATTATGTCCAGCACAGAATTGGTTCACGGTGAGGGTGCGGATGGTGTCAGGATCGCCAGTGATATGAGTGTAATCCCTACGACAAATATCATTTTTTACCACCGGGATCTGAATTTGCGTTACTTCTTCGCTGAGGATATCCAAACCGTTCAAACCCCAAGCCGCCACCTGCCGTGAAACCGTGCCGATGACAAGAAACCAATGCCTTGGGAAACTAGCTGAAAAGAAAATAAGTCTCACTGTTCCTATGTTTCCATCCTTGAGGTTGCTCTCCGTGATCTGAAGATTCTTCGGGATGCAGATCAACTGCACTCTGTCCGTTAACCGGACCGGCTCGGTCAGTTTCAGTAGGGCGATGTCGGAGTCGAAGTTATGAATGTTGAAGTCTTTGGATGAAACGATCACAGACACCTGGAAACAAACTGTATTAATTCACATCAAGTCAATATCGCCAATATCGATACGAGAACAATTTATCAATAATTCGGTGACCTCTCTCTGCTGCACGAAGTTATCGTCCAAGGAATCATTCCGATAATGTTTCCCCACATAAACGTGGAATTCATTGTGAGGCCGAGGTCGCGAGGAACCACCATATGCGATACAATGAGCTGCGGTGAGAACCCATTGCTTCCGAATGAGAGCCCCTCCGCAAACGATGAGTTTCTCCTTCACATCATAAATGGCAGCCTGCCATGGCCATTCTCCGAGACTCGACGGCTTGCCTCCGGCTGACAACTTCTTCACCAGCAGCCTCTTCCCACATTCTAGGTCGGGAGAAGGGCTCCATGCTGAAGCGCGGTGGATTCACCTCGGAGCAGTGGAGGATCGAGACTCACCAGGATCACAGAAGGGGACGTGGCCCGTCCATTTTCCTCTCTCTGTGCAGATCCGGACCGGCGATCCCCTGATGACATAATGATCGTCGCACTTGTATTCCACTTTACTTTCGGCCATGTACTTGCCGTCTCTGATGCAATCTGTGCTGATTCCTACGTCGACTTCTCCACTTGCACTGCCGAGAGCAACTCGTAATACATTTCTTTTTGTACCAGGTCGTTTTCTTAAGCAATAAAAAAGAGACAAATCTTGTATGAATCTTGGCGATTTGTTTCCTCACCTCGTGACAACACCTGAGCAAGACTTTCGCATAAATCCGTTCGGAAATTCATGAGGTTCTTCGCATCCTCTGGAACCCACGGCTGGAATAAATACAAATTTAAAGTGTTCTTCTTTAATTTTTTTCCATTCAAAATAAGGGTGAAACCTTTGACACTTCATAGGTCGTGATTCAGTAGTTCGCGCATTCATTTAATGTTCCTATATTTTATTTTGCTCTTATTTTAAGAAAAGAAATCAGCATGTTCCGAATATTCGAATATGTTTAACTAATTTTCCACTTTGAATCCGGAACCATTTATTCATTCGAACAAGGTACAGGCTGTCTCAGAAGTTGTGAACGAATTGAAATTGCAATTTTTAGACGCTCCCCACCCGGATCAAAATGATCTTTTCAACACTAAAATGTGATTTTGGTGGCAAATTATTTGACACATGAACGAACATGATGGATTACAATGAGATCAGTTCGAGAGGGTTTTATGAATATGTATTTTCCACAAACATTTCCATGCAAATCATGTATTCATCGAGTACAACAGAAACGGGAGAAACACAACTCACATAATCACGGCTCATGTAACACATGTATGTGTTATTTATAGTTCAAGCCTCCCTGGAGTCGATCATCGTCGGCTAAGACTGTCTCACGCTTCATCTCGAAAGTGACGTGATTAAATGCCTTGTGAATGCGCTCCAAGCTCATCCAAGTTGACGATCGGCGGAAATTTCAAAAGGAGTGCTGTTCAGAAAAATCGTTTCCGCTCTTGCCATATTACTAGTGTGCAGCCAGCGAAATATATCAATTTGAAAAAAATAACTTTCCAGACTTCTGTTTTCAATGCGGAATAGATCGTTTCGATCGCGCAGAGAAAATGCGATTTTCAGTGGTTCACTAATTCTAGGATAACCTGTACATTTAATTTCCTTGAAATGATCCTAACCAATCCTTACGCTTGCATCAACCACCCACTAATGAATCCATCGACACGGTGTCCCAGAAACCCTACCCAAGTTTTGTAAATTATTATCTTTTCTTTTTTTCTGATGGAAATGAGTTCGTATCATTCGAAAGCCTCGACCATAATTAACAACTGTTATTAAACTTAACGGTTTGTGAAAATTGTTTGCGGAATTTTTCGAATAAGAAGGCCTATGGCACAAAACCCTTCACATCCTTAACCCTTAAAAATGCAAGTAAAAGAGCAGGAGTCAACGATAACTTCTGATACCAAGGATAAAAAGAGGAGTTTCACGGCCAATGAATTTACTTCTCCTGTGGAATCTCGGGCCGACCGATTCACGCCGCGATCGTACCTATAGGTCGGGGGGGCGTCGTGCTCGCAGGGTCCGATTGGAAGTTCGGTTGGCAGCACAGTTCATGGGCTCGGCAGCCCTCCACCTTCGAAAAGATGACTGTCTCCGGCTTGCAGAGGTGAAAGAGGCTGACCTGGACGCACGAGTAGGGGCAGGGCTGAAGGCACTCTAACTCGTCCCATCTGAATTTCTGAAATTCGCTTCCGTTCTGACATTTCCCACCGATGCTCTTGAAGAGTCGGTTATTCGCTAACCATTCAGCTTCACAATCGCACTGAATGCTATTCCCTGCTGGTGTTCCTCCTTCGGGGGAAAATGCTGGACAAATCAATATTGGAACGGCTGCATTGTTCAATTTCTCATTCATCATGTGACGCAAAATAACGGGTTTTGGGAGATCGTAGAGTGTTGCGAGATGTCCATGGAACTCACAATTAACGTTGAGGATCCCGTTCCCGCGCGAGAGGATTTGTAGAATGGACTGGAAGCTTTCCTTCGGGAATATGGCGATATTGTTGTGCTGTAGATCGACATGCGTGTTGGGTGTCAAATCTGGAATGGACACGAGACCATCATCCGCTTTCCGCTTCCAATTTCCAAACTATACTGGAAAACTGTGCAGAGGTCTTTGATTGATTTGATATGATAGGGCAAGATCGACAAGGTTTAATCCAATTGCATCTCAACTATGAGTCATGTAGCACTGAAAATTTCATTGATAGGGCTATTTGAATCTTTCAATCTATGCTGCAGACGTTGTGAGTTGAGCTAAACATCATCTTCACCTGAATTATACATTACAGGGTATGTTGACACTAATGCGTTTGATGGCAGAAATTTGCAGAAGCAAAGCGAACCACCCCCATAGTGCTATTCGCGGTAAGAGTGACGACTGTGTAGGCGTGACCAGGCCCCACGGTTTTTTTTGGTACTTTTATATATCAGCCATGGAACAAAGATGAAAAGGTACTTAATTGCCTTAATCCTGCTTCGCGTATATCATCGAATTCTTCTGCTTCGATCGAGTGACACATGTTGATAGCCTCATGTAAACTCTAGTGCTTAATTCGGCGAGTTTATTACCACTTCCACTGAGTGATTAATGTTGCTATTTAAAAAGTTCCCCTTTCTCCGAGTACATCATGCAAAAAGTGATCGGTGTCGCTTAGAATTGTATATTATTGGAGTTCAATTCTGACTACACATTGACATAGCATCTTTCAGCACTTTAATGTAGTCTTCTTTTTTCAATAATGCCCCCCCAGAAATTAACGGTGGCTATGGCATATTACAATTCTGTGACCATTTTGGAGCCGTTGTACACCATAAAAACCGTTTCATCACAATATTGAGTTACTGGCCGATTGAACGAAACGAACGAGGCGTCGAACTGGGAAACTTCAGAAAATATTCACATACATTCATCATTCATTTCCATCAATTTTCGAGCATTGGTCAGAATGAAGAAAACCTTAGAACCTGTAAAAAATTTGAGACTCTTTAAGACACTTTCGGGAAGCACTTGGGACATTTCGCATTCCAAAAGTCGTATTTCTCAAGGCCTGGAGGCCACTTAATTTCGGATTTCTGAGGACGTGAGATCTCCGAGAAATAAGTATATGAATGAATTTGAAAATGTTCAAACGCACGACCTTGGATAGTTCATGAACCCTTGAGTTCTCGGGCGAATGAGGAAAGCGGCTAATGACATTGAAATTTGCAGGGCGTCGCTCATAGACCGATTTTGAACGACTTAAAAAAATGCTTTGCTGGATGAGGTGGAGGAAACGATATGGATTAACGTCTCCCAACGAAGAAAAAAAATGTAAAGGCAACAATATATTCCTTGTGGAAATTTCTGTCCCGAAATTCAGGTCAGTAGTCTCGTACGAGTTTTTTCACGTCCATCGGCCCAAATTATTCAGAAAACGAAGAAAAGTATCACCTACTGCATTAACTCCATAAAAGTCTAGGTTAGCGCAGCTCTTGGCGGCAGATGGAGGAAGAAATCGTTATGGAAACGGTTCGAATGTACCGAATCTGTGCCCTCGAATTAGCGGAAACCAACAACTCATACTTGACGTCTTCAGAGTATATACTGATTTTGCACGCCCTCTCATTCAGCACCCACCCCGCACCTAAATTAAACACGTGGGTCTAATTTAAATTCCTCGGACGCAGCGGTGCGCACAATGAGGAATCCTGAAGGACGCAGGAGATTTCGCAGTCATCCCCACATCTCCGAATTCGGGGCTGGGATATTACATTCTGACCCGGCAGACATTTGAGGTAACTGGCATCCACGATCTAAAAGGGAAAGAGGCTAGACGAGGACTGGGGATCCTACCTGCGATGGCTTCAAGCTCCAACGTGACGATTTTATTCCAAGCGAGATTCACCACCTTCAAGGACTCGCTGCGGGACTTGATGAACCCACTCGGAAGGTTCGGTCCCAGGTTGCATTCCGCGCAAGAGAACTCCTCCAGTCTCTCCAATCCATTAATGACATCTGATGGGAACTCCGAGAAAGGGTTCCCATCTGTACGGAACACGAGGGAGAGAATCACGAGATGAAGAAGAGATCGTGTTTCGACTGAAGCTATGCCACAGGATACAATACCTCGATGTTATTCCGCCACTATACCAATTGGGGTAGATAAAAGGCTAGAAATAATATATAAACCATTATATTCTAAGGGAATACGAGATCATTTCTGGAAACACAACATATTTCGACTTTCACGGGAAATTTGAAATGTTGAGAACTCTTCCGGCTTTGCTTGTGCCATGCACCTGCAGCAGGAAAGGTAAGGTCTCATTGCTACAGAATGAAAAAAAAAAAGATTTAAAATGATATGGACAATAGAGTTTGTTTTCAAAATGATTTCGCCGTTAAGCACTCGGTGCCTGACTCGTGGTAACCGTTGCGGCCAAGAACGCCACCCTTCAGTCCAGGGTTCGGGAACCTATGGCTCATAAGCCAAAATTGTCTCACAAGCCGAGAGGTTTTGCTCATTGTTCCTTGGTTTAAAGTCATGGGTGTTACTCATTCTTCTCATGTATCAAAGAACGCATGTCTGTTGCCAACTTCTGGAAAAATGATGTCCTGGAAATCTATCGCTCACAAGCACTTAGCTCACATCTTGTTATGGCTCACGAGGTCAAAAATGTTCCCGATCCCTGCCTTAATGGTTTCAGAAAAACAGACGAAGTTAAAAAAATCTGGAGACTACGCATTGAAATGGGAATATTCGCATATTGCACGGGATGTTGAATGCTTACCTAAAATGAGTTTCTTCAATTTAGGAGTCGCCCATTCGTCTTTCTCAAACCTCATAATTTTATTCCACATTAGGTAGAGTTCCTCGAGGCTTCTGCTCTGAAGGGGCGGGACGGACGCGAAGCGATTTTGCGGGAGGATCAGAGCCTTGAGGATGGTTAGCCGGGGGAGGATGTTGAAAGGAAAACGCTCCATGTGACTGGAGAAATTTTTCAGCATGAATAGCGTATCTGCGGAAGCGAGGAGGGCCGACGGATGGATCGTCTCCAGGGCGCTGTTGCGGATGCTGATCCTCTCGAAGGAGACGCTTGCGAATGCCTCTTCTTGGAGCTCTTCCACGTTGGGGTTCTTGTCCATCTTGAATTTCCTGCGAGGATGAAGAAAATACGAGGGGTGTTCGAAAAGTAATAGGTATTTATTTATTAAACAAGAACGATTAGACCTAAGGTAACAAGAGTAAGCCCATACGTAGGCCAACATGTAAGCATTGGGACCTGTCAATGCCATTCAATACACTCAGTCCATTCTCGAGTTATAGGCCGTGCTGTCCCTTGCTATTTTTCTATTATGGAAGACGCGGTGAAAAATCAAAGGTCAATAATGTTCTTTTTGTGGAAGGAAGGAGTCAAAACTGTTGATATTGTCAAGCGCTTGCAGTGTGTTTTCGGAGATGCTGCTGACTCAAAAAGCACAGTTTATTTTTGGATTAACCGCTTCAAGAGTGGTCGGCAAAGCCTTGATGATGACCATCGGACTGGAAGGCCCTCCACTTCAGTTAATGAAGAAAATGTGGCAGCCGTGGAAGAGCTTGTGATGGAGGACAGGCGAGTGACCGTGCGAGAGATTGCCAGGGCCCTANTTTTTGAGTCAGCAGCATCTCCGAAAACACACTGCAAGCGCTTGACAATATCAACAGTTTTGACTCCTTCCTTCCACAAAAAGAACATTATTGACCTTTGATTTTTCACCGCGTCTTCCATAATAGAAAAATAGCAAGGGACAGCACGGCCTATAACTCGAGAATGGACTGAGTGTATTGAATGGCATTGACAGGTCCCAATGCTTACATGTTGGCCTACGTATGGGCTTACTCTTGTTACCTTAGGTCTAATCGTTCTTGTTTAATAAATAAATACCTATTACTTTTCGAACACCCCTCGTAAATTACGGATTTTCTCCAGATGCTCTTACGTAAAAATATGTTTATCCTCATGCCTTGGGAATTATGTTCGAATGATGGTCGAACTTGATCATGACCACTCCCGATTAGAACAAGTCCTGCCTTACAGTGAAGAAGAATGCCTGGTCCCGGTCGAAAGACCAACGAGGTGCTTGGATTTATATCTCATTCTTAGCGACTTCAGTTATTAGCAGAACCACGGTAATAACGGTAATACACTAGTAAGAAATGAGTGCACGTCGACGAGGACGACAAAGACGAAAGAAAGGACATTAAAGATCCCTTGCTGACATCATTTAAACTCTTCTAGCGGTAAGATTGTTTTGCGGTTTTTTAAATTTAAATTGAATCGGGTGAACGTGCCAGCCGTGAACAACGTGGAATCCTTTGGGACTTCACTGGAGCGTATCTTCGCGCTTGAAACAACGCGAGATTGGGGACTACCTCGTCTTGTAATGACTTACTAGGTAGAATAGTGTCACAACATGTTGTATTCAATACATCAGATTCGTGTTAATCATATGCTAGAAAATGCAGCGATGGAAAATACATAAACACAAACTCCTTTACAATGAACCTCGGCTATAACACCTACTCTTTTACTGTTCCCTGCGACAATGTTTTTTGCGAGTTGAATAAGACGATTTTGCAAAGCCAACCTTTCTCTCTTGACTACCCTCCTCTTCTCTCCGGGACAGCTTATGCCTGACCTCCACAGGTCGTGCCTCGGCCTACCCTTTCTTGCGACTCACCCCTCCACCTATGCGCCAATTAGGCGTGTAATCATTCTATCTTGGGGTTTTTCTGATTCCTCGGTGAAGACGATTTGGCGGACCGTGGGTCTACTTTTCTTGAGGTTCTCTCGGCGTCTCGGATATCCGGTGACAGCTTCTCGTTTTCACGGATCTCATTCCCATTAAACAATAGAAGCATTTCACCGGAACCAAAACTAAAAATTAAATTCGCAGCGAATTGGACCACAGAAATAACAGAAGACCCAGGCGGAATCAGAAGCAAATTTTTTAATACATCAACACGATTTGAGGGATGTGGGGATGGGACTGGAGCCCGCACGATAAGTCTAAATAAGCATAAGCCGATTTTATTTTTCACGACGATGAGGTGCATCGTCAGCACACATCTACAAAGTCTTATACCGGGTGAGACAAAGAAAAGCGCCGCTCTTTCAAATATTGTGGCACCTATGAAGCAGCAGCTGGAACCATGAAAATACATTCATACACGCTTCCTTTCATGCACACCCATCCTTTAAGCATTCGAAATTTTTGGCATATTATCTTCGGTCGTTTTAGCACAAGAGCAACTGGAATTTTCTTATTGCTGTCGCACCTGGACGCCAACGGGAGAACCTGTCTCACTCATGAGGAATGACATTTATTATTAGGATGTTTTCCTCCGCACTTCAGAAGTCGCCAAGCAGATCCATGGCGCGTCCTTACGTATGCCAATTTCCATATGATATTATCTTATCATCATATTTCTTTCATTTGCCACACTTAACGAGGAACTAGGAAATGGATTAAAATTAGATTTATCTACCGATTAATCGATTAAATGGCTCACGATTATTCGCTTTAATTTTTATTCGATTGACAGCAATACTTTTTTAACCTGGGGAGCACAGAGGAGTACCTGAACGCCTCTGACATTAATAGAGGTTCGTAGTTTTGGGGGGATTTGTTAAGGGATTCTTCCAATATTATTGTTCCGAAGTATCCGAAGTGGCAGTTCAAAATTCCAGCTGTTTGTCTCATTTGAAGGCTATGCGACGGAAATCCATTAGCCTGAATAAGGAAAATGGGAATGTTTCACGGGAAACAGCTAGTTAACTAATTGCATTAAATTACATACAATGTTTGTCGGTAATATAGGAAACATATTATTGAAATTGGTTGGAAACTACGTGAGTAACAAATTTTCTCCCACGCGATGTCAAAAGAGCGAGTGCGCAAAGAAACGCGCCTGTTTCCTCCTTGGATCGCGGGCCGAAGCAGCCCGCCATCAAACGCACTGACACACTTGCTAATTTGACGACTTGTACGGAAAGAGCTATTACTCATGTTCAAAGCAACGAAATTCATTGAAAATTTCCTAAACCCACCTACGTATGTTGGGTATGACACATTGAAAATTTCAAGACGATGTTCAGCACGGTGTCCAATTTGAAGCCGCACGAAAATTCGGAACGTATTTTTTTGGGCCACCCGGTATAAATCGAGCCCGTTTAGTGCAGTCAAATGTTGGAGGAATTCTCGTGTGCAGCCATTTCTCTATGACATGGCATGGGAGGATTTAGGAGTGAAGTAATAAAAGATTGGAGGGAGGGGGAGAAGGAGGATAAAATAAATTATTTCACTCCAAAACCTGAAGGAGCCAACATGAATCCTTGCTTCCAATTGCAAAATCCCACGAGAGTCGGACAGGTTGTAGTTCTTCGGTAGAATAAATCTTTCTCCCAGACTTCTTAGGAGTCCAAGTCGAGCTCGTCATTTTACGGTCTCCTTTCAATTAGACCTGCGGTGGAAAATCTCACGAGTGAGAAAGAGCTGAAGTTTAATGTGCGTCCTATCACTATCATTTCCACTTGTCCCAGATCCATGCCGGCATCAGTTTCACCTTCGCTCCCCTATTTTTGCTTCGGGGCAGGGGGGGGATAGGAGATTCCTTTTCCCAAGTCATTTACTTATTTCAAATCAATTGAAAGTTGGAATCTCTGGAAATAATAGACCTATTGAAGCATTACACAATGAAAACGAATCTAGCGATTGCATGAATTGCATTGATAATTGTTTTTAATGGTAGGGAAAATGAGTCTATCCATATATAGGGTGGTTAAAAAAAACGCTCTTCCGTTTTCTATGGGAGAAACACTGTTTCATGAATTCAGTAAAAAAAATTACATTGAATACGCGATCGATATTTGACTGTTAAAAGGTGTTGAACTGCCTGCCAGCTATTTTTCAGCACCCCTGCCTAAATTGTGCAATGCCCATATACAGGTGAATTAAAGGTGCTTAGAGGTGGAGCACTTCACCTCAAGTGAGGTGATGCCCTATGCTGGACCGTCTCAGAATTCAATGAACTCTTCAACATTAACTAACCTGGTGACCGAGAGTGATTTCAAATAAGCTCCAACGTTTTCAAAAATGAGAAAGTATGATTGTGCCCTATGCACAGGACAAAGAATTGTTCTGAGAAAATCTGAATCTTCTCAACATCTCCTATATGTCCAATAGCAAGATTTTAACAGTCATATTTTTTCTCGAATGCAGAAATCATACTTTCTCACCTTGAGAACGGTGGAGCTTTTTTCGTAATCATCCTTGGTCGCCCTGCCAACAACAGCGCCCTCTATCGGAATACAGCGCCATCTTGAGGAAGTGAAAAAAAAAATTATTAGACTCATGAACCTCTCTGTCAATTATCAGCTGGATCCAACTGTCCCTTGAAAAGTTGAAGAGTTCATTGAATTCTGAGACGGTCCAGCATAGGGCATCACCTCACTTGAGGTGATATGCTCCACCTCTAAGTACCCTTAATTCACCTGTATATGGGCATTGCACAATTTAGGCAGGGGTGCTGAAAAATAGCTGGCAAGCAGTTCAACACCTATTAACAGGCAAAAATCGATCGCGTATTCAATGTAATTTTTTTTTACTGAATTCATGAAACAATGTTTCTCCCATAGAGAACGATAGAGCGTTTTTTTTAGCCACCCTATATGTAAAAGGCTAATCAGCCTGTCATTATGTCATACTGTCATTCCGGGAAACTCCCCCAAGACGGATGAACGTATTTTAATAATTGAGGTGTCAATCGAAAGCTCATGACCTGGAGGCGAGGGTTAAAGTAGAAAAAGTACTCTGCAAACGTGGTTTCTACAGGTCTTTCTGCGCGGTCGACTTTTCCGAGTTGAAACTCGATCGGCCCGATTGGAATCATGACCCGCACCCGACCCGGAACGCGATCTTCGACCGAGCTTCGCTGTTCCGAGCTGCGAATAGTGTGCTGATATGGGCGGCCCGCAGCCCGCTTACGCCTCTAAGCTTGAGAACGCCAGGTATCCGATGACGTATTTCCGCAAAGGGGAGAGAAACGGACCCTCGCAGATCTGCGCATAAACGCATTTTCGTGTGGAACGGCTAAGAATGGATGATATTCCATGCAGG